TAAATCTAACCAGTGGCCACGTCCAAAAACTGTATGTCTCTTTCTGCACTTTGTGTCCATCACTTCTTTGTTAGGAAGTGGGTAACTTGCTTCATCATAGGTCCTCTGGAGAGAGATATGATCGTTGTTTTGATCAGAGTTTTTAAGTCTGTAAAAGTTGTTTTTCATTGCAATTGATATCTTTTGCTTTTTGGAAGATTGTATTCCATGATCTCCTCTCATTTTTAGTAGAAGCTGCTGCCTTTTCTGGGATCGTAGTGGTTTTTTCTTGGTGCTTGAACTGTTTTTCAATGCTTACAGTATGTTTTCTTTGATAGGAATGCTCTGGGTTTTGACTAGAATATTCCTGGGACCTTTCCTTTAATTGATTCTTTCTTTTAGGAAGTGATTGGTGGAGTTTCTCTTCGATTTGTCCTGTAGTTGTAGTGTATCTGGGCATTTTCATTTATGATTTAATGAAATATACTGTTTAGGCCTTTTTTTTAAAAAAAAAAAGTATGTTTTTCAGGGAGTTTAATGATTCTTAAATTATTTCTCCTCAACTTGTCAGATATTTTGCATTTTCTTCTAGTTTTTTAATCTTTTTCTTTTGTCCTAATATTTCTTGCTATCTCACAAAGTCATTGATTTCTGTTTAATCTAGTTTGGATTTCAAGTACTCTGATACTGAGTAAGTTTTAATACTTTTTGTTCTTAGCTATTTATTCTCCTTCCAACTCTTTCCTTTAGAGTTTTTATTCCATTTATTTTATCTCATTTCATTTCATTTAGGTATTCATGTAGTCTTTGTGAAAAATCCATTTTTTTCCCTTTAAGTTAATGCTTTTAGTTGTCATAGAGTTGTTGTGTAGTCAATTAATTGTGTCCACTTCTTTATGAGCCCATTTGGGATTTTCTTGGCAAAATTCTGGAGTGGTTTGCCATTTCCTTCTCCAACTCGTTTTGCTGATAAGGAAATGGGGTTAAATGACTTGCCCAGGGTCACACTGCTAGTGTCTGAGGCTGAAATTAAACTCAGGTCTTTCTGACTCCAGGCCTACTGCTCTATCTACTGCATCACCTCGCTGCCCTGCTAAACTAATGTAGGGATTAGATATTTAAAGCCCTGAAAGGGCTGACCCATTTTTCGTTCATCTAGTGAAACTGCTCCCTTTAATTTTGTCAGGGAAAGGTATTTGTATTTCATAATGGGATCATTCAGTATTAACTTCTTGTTAATACTTTAATACTTTGTTACCTTTGCTTTCTACTTTTTGTTTTCTATGCTATCCATCTATAGAGTAGATTTGGGGAACCAAATCCCCCCCTACCTTACAGGGAGATTGATGGACAGATACTTAACACACTACTATTGGCAAACCAGGGCAGCTAGGTGCTACAATGGATAGAACTCTTGGCTTAGAATCATGAAGACTCCTTTTCTCGAGTTCAAATCCGGCCTCAGACACAAACACTCACTAGCTGTGTGACCCTGGGTAAGTCACTTAACCCCAATTGCCTCACTAAAAAAAAGAAAAGAAGGAAAAAAAAAGGAAATGAAGGACAAACATTTATCAAACCAAACTTATCTACCCCAAACATATCTCCCTCCTGAATCTCCTCCTTTCTAGCCACAGCTAGTTAGTGTCAAGTGTCTGAGGTCGGACATTGCTCTGAAGAGAGTAAATCTCCCAGCTGCAAATCTGTCAGAAATGAACTTTGAACAATCCACTTGCCAATTGCCTTTGGACTTCTCCATCAGCCCCCCAGGCTGGGTACCTTCCCCTCCTCCCATCTGGAAAGCCTCCCCAGCCTTTTCAGCCACTCCCTTCAGATTGTAAGCTTCTTGAGACAGAGGCTGTCTTTCTTTTTATTTGCATTGCATCCCCAGCACTGAGCTCAGTGACTGGCATACAGTAGGTACTTAATAAATGTTTATTGACTTTATTATCTTTAAACCAGCGTGGTCTTGTTTATGCCACAACAGAGAGAAGGTTCTCCTTATAGACATAATGCCACCATATCCTTTTCTTCATTCCAGTGGCTATCACTTGGGAGTAGACACTCAGCAGCCCCTCTGGATGGAAGCATTTCTTCACAAGCCACACCAGAATTCACTTCCATTGGAAAATCTCATTGCCATCAGGATGGTTTGGGCCAATCCAGTCCTGGTCAGACCTGCCATGCTAAGGGGGTATTTGTGGTGAGGAAATAGATCCCAACTATGTAGAGGAAGGGAAATTTGCTATATAACCAAAGTGCTGATGGATTTAAGATGGAAGAAGGGGATAGACCAGCCCAGCAGACTCTTCTGGCAAGTCTGTGAGTGGGAGTGAAGAGGTGGGTTGATGCTTGAAGCAATGAACTGGGGGGACGAGGGACTAGAAAATACTGGTCCTACCCCCAGGAAGTCTACAGAGGAGCTGGGGGAAGCAAGAGGTCCAGTTAACACAGAACAGGTGACTGAGAAGTCACCTAGCTGAGTTCCAGATTCAACTTCATCTCTATGACAATCCTGTGAACAACACACATAGGTGATATGGAGCTGTAGTAGCAAGTATGGACCACAGGAATACTTGTGAACATGGTACTCCTTCTGCAAGATGACAGTACTAGCAATTGACTTCTATAGCCCGAGGATGTGTTTCCTGTGTTCTGAGTTCAAATCCTGCCCCAGACAGACACTGTGTGACCCTGGTAATCATTTAACCTCTTTCAACCTGTTTCTTCATCTATAAAGTGGATTATTGTGAAGAGAAAAAGAGATTACTTAAACCTTAAAGGACTATAAGTTAGCTATTATTATTAGCTATTATTGTACTATCATCATCACCATCATCATCATTATTCCTGTGCTTAAGGTGGGGCACACAATGCTGTAGCTGGGACCATAGTAATGGTCTGACTCTGAGGTGGGATGGGATGTCGTAGGTTTTGGCCAGACCCTGCTTCAAAACCTTCCCACCTCTACCCTCACAAACCCTGGTTGCTTACACAGAATCAGGTCAAGGAAGGAATTACCTGTGACAAATAAAATTGTAAAATACAGAGGGACAGAGTTGAGACATACTGTTTCAAGTCACAGATCGTGTCTGGACAACTACCCAAGCGATCCGGGACTTATATGGCATCCAGCATCTGGAAGCAAAGCAGTTTACAGGAAGCCTACTCTTCCATTCTGCCGAAGCATCACCTTTGAGTAGGCGACTGTGGCTAACAGGTGTGAGGGCATGCCTCTGAGAGGAGCAGGAGGGGCTGGAGGGCTCACTGGCCTCCGCTTTCACCTTGTAGCCTTGATTCATTATTGTTCCCATATCCACTGATATCTCAGCAAAGAACAAATAAACACTTGGAGCTGAGCCCGAGAGCTTTCAAGGCGATTCCATTTGTGCTCATGTCTAGGGACGGGACATGTAGATTTCCCACTCTCCAATGCAGGTTGGCATCTTCTCTACAACTTAAGTCTTCAAGAGTGACTTAGAACACTGAAGGGTAATTTGGCCAGGTTTCTGCCAGAGGTGGGATGGAAACCCAAGACATCCTAGCTCTGAGCCCAGCTCTAGCGACACCATCTCTTACCATCTATTACCTTCACCAAGTTCTCTGCCTCTGTTTTCTGGATGACTACACATTCTTTTATTTTTAGGCAATTGGAGTTAAGTGACTTGCCCAGGGCCACACAGCTAGTACGTGTCAAGTGTTTGGTCTGAGGCCAGATTTGAACTCAGGTCCTCCTGACTTCAGGGCTGGTGCTCTATCCACTGCACCACTTAGCTGCCCCTATGACTACACATTCTTAATAGCCATTGCTGCATGGCCTTTACTTATCCTCTTCTTAAATAAATTGTAGCAGATTGGCGGCCCATCATGAGTGTTAGCCTACCAAATCTCATATCTATGGGCTAATTTGCCCTCTTACATTACGAACTCTAGCTCATCCTGCCTGTTACAGAATCTTAGGATTGAAAAGGTTCTCAGAGACCATTTAGTCTAAACTGCACTGGAATAAGTCATTCTTCCAGGCTTTAATAGTAGTGAGTGTTAATAGACAAATACACACAAGAATAAACATACTAATGCACTATACATGCATATGCAAAACAGCTAGAAAAATATGGACCATTGTCCCTGTGAGTTGTTATTCATTCATGTCTGACTCTTCATGACCCAGTTTGAGGTTTTCTTGGCAAAGATGCTAGAGTGGTTTGCTATTTCCTCCTCCAGCTCATTTTACAGATGAGGAAACTGAGGCAAATGGAATTAAGTGACTTTCCCAGGGTCACACAACTAGTAAGTCTGAGGCCATATTTGAAATCAAGTCTTCCTAATTCTAGGCCTACCACTCTATCCACTGGGCCCTCCTGCATTAGTGAGGAGTGGTGAGATACAATTTCTCTAACTTGAAAATTCATGAATTTCAAGAAGATTTGATGGATTCAATAACAGAAAAATATTCATTAGAACAGTTTTAAAAAGCTTGATTTGTAGAATTTATTGGGAATGGACAAATCTATGAGGATAATGCCCAGGACTCCATGGATAAGCGCTCAAAGGATACAAGAGTTCACACAAGAGGGAAATATAACCAAACCTTTGAGAGGCAGCATGATGCAGAGAAGAGAATTCTAGCTACAAAATCAGAGGATCTGGGTTTGAATCCTGCTTGCTCCTGATGTGACCTCTAGCATGTCATTTCAGTTTTCTAAACAGGCTTTTTCATCTTTAAAATGTATGTGTGTGTGTATCAGATAATCCCTAAAGCTCCTTCTGGTTTTAAATCTTTGACCCTTTGGGGAAATGCCCTACATCCTCAAAGAAGAGGAGTAAAAGTAATACATATATAAGGTACCACCTCACCCATTAAATTGGCAAAATATAATAAAAATGATCAAACAGTGTCAGCAGGGGTGTGGGTATTTGTAATCGCACTTGGCCTTATGGACAGCCATCCAGCAATGTGCTCCAAAGAGGCATAAATCTAGTTATTAGATGGAACACACCAATGGAAACAGAGAAGGAAATAAATGGGGATCATCATTTATATAAAACTTAGACTCACAAAAAGTTAAGAGCTGGAAATAAGATGACTTTTTTGCTTGTACACCAGAAACAATAATGTATCAAATAAATATTGGACAGTCACAGTATCAAAATTTAGCAAGTGACAAGTCTAAATAAAGTTCCTTTCACATCATTAGCTTCCCACAGTTAGACTTCAGCATGGATGACATCAGATGTCTGATGAACAATAAATAGTTCTGCAAGGATTTTCCATGATCGTTATATTCTTAAATACCTCTCTCCAGCATGAATTGTCCGATATAGAATATGACATTGCCGAGTTTCCCACACTTGGTACATTGAAAGCACCTTTCTGTTACTTCTGTCCTTTGGTCATTAAGAATTTCCCCTATAGCTGAAGTTTTTCTCATCTTTATTATTACACTTTCTGCCTTGTATGAATTCCATTTAGTAATGAGTTCCAGATGACTGAAGGTTTTCATATCTCCATCACATTCAAAAGCTTCTCCTCATGCCATGAGGCTTGGTTGATAGGAAAGGTTATTTCTGGCCTGGAGAATATTTAGAGGGAGGGAGTAAAACAGTTGTCTTCAAGCACTTGAAGGATTAAACCTGTTCTGCATTGTCTTAGGAGCAATCCAGCCCTCCATCAAAAAGCAATAAAGTGTCTTCTTTGTACACGGAGATACAAAGGCAAAAAGGAATCGGTCCCAAAGGGCTTACATTCTACTGGGGGAGACACATACACATGTAAGCATATGAAACATAACATGATAGCAGTGGGGTGGACTGGGGAAGGGAACAGCAGCTGTAGGAATCTGTAAAGATTCATCTGAGAGGTGACTTTTGAACTGAGCTTTGAAGGAAACTAGAGATCCTAAAAGGCGAGGACAGAATCCATTCCAGGCAGGAAACAGCGTGAAAATGGCAGATGGACTGTTGTGTATGAAGAAGAGCCAAAAGTTTGGTTTAGCTGATGCGCTGAACATATAGAATGGCCGTTATATAAAATAAGCTTGGAAAGGTAAGTTGAGGTCAGTCTGTAAAGGACTTTAAATGATAAACAGGAATTCTTATTCGATCCTAGTGGTAAGAAAGGGCCACTGGGAGTAGAATGATCTAAAGCCTGTGCCTTAGGAATATCACTCTCAGTTGGGTAAAAAACGCAGGTGGTCATGGAAAGAAGTTGTACCTAGTGAAATTTTGGTTTGATGTCCAACCAGTTAGAGCTATCCAAAAGTGGAACGGGCTGCTTCAGGAGGTAGTGAGATATCTCTCATGAGAAGGTCTTTAGTCACCGTCATTTCCCAATGACCATCTTTCCCCCAGTAGAACCTTTGGTAACAAAGAGATTCATTAATCATGTGCGACAGCATGACAGTGCCTGGCACACAGTAGGAACTTAAAATGTTTTCTGATTGACTGATTCACACCTGTCATTGACCCCATTCTAATGAGGAGAGAGGTACATTTCTGCATCAATACTTCAGTTGCCTACTGCACTGAACTGAGTTCTGATATCTTTTAAGGGTTGTTTTCCTTTACATGATGGTGGTCATTGTTCATATTGTTCTTAGGTCTACTTCCTTTAGTCTTCCTAGGTTTATACAAGCTTCTCAATGTTCACCAAATTCTTCATATTCATCACTTCTTATGCCACAATATTCCATTACATCCATAGATCAAAAGTTCAGTCAACAACATTTACTCAGCATTAGTTGCTATGCACTGAGCTAGTTAGTTAATTAGTTGTTGTTCTTCGTTTTCAAGGAACAAAATGACAGCACTATGCTAGAGGTGAGCTAAGCATAAAGGCAAAAACACAATTCCTGTCTATAAGGAGCTCTCACATTATAATATAGGAGACAACATACATGTAACTGTACAAACAAGATAAATATGGCATAAATGAAAGGTAATCTAAGTTATTCCCGACCTGATGGACACCCATTCGTTTCTAGTTTTTTGCTATCACAGAAAAAGCAAGACAGTCTTCCCTCCAGGAGTTTACACTCTAAAGACAACATAGATAGGGCAATAACAGCCAGGGAGGGTGCTGTGTTCTAGGAAGTCACTTGGCCTTTTCTGGAACAGTGGTGTGCAAATGATGAATATTCAGAGTTAGAGGTGGAAAGTGGAAGAGAGGAGAAGAGATGCCCAGAGAACAGTGTGGTGCTGGATTAAGTGAATTCTCACAAACCAGGAGCACAGTGCTCTAGGGTGGAAGCTGGAGTAGACCAAGGCAGTTGGTGGAGTGATTGGCAGTAGCATGGCAGCAGGTGGTCAGGAATTAGCACTGTGGAAAGTTCTCCCACATTTATTGCATTCAAAGGTTACTCTCCATTGTGAATTCTAATGGTTCCCAGGGGGGTAGCTGGTGCTACATGCCTTCCCAGAGTCCTTACATTCAAAGGGTTTCCCTGATGTATGAAGTTGCCACTGCTTTCCCACACTCATTGACATAATACAGTTTCTTTAGTATGAAGTCTCTGATGCCTCCTAAGCAATGAACGTCGCCGGAAGCCTCTCCCACATTCACTACATTCAAAGGGCTTCTCTCCAGTATGAATTAACTTGTGTTCAACAAGATTTGCTTTGTGTTTGAAGGCCTTCTCACACTCATTACATTCAAAGGGCTTCTCTCCAGTATGAAACATCTTATGTAGGGTGACTCCAGTGTGAAGTTTCCGATGCTTTCTAAGTGCTGAGCTTTGCCTGAAGTTTCTTCCACACTCCTTACATTTAAAGGGCTTCTCTCCAGTATGAATTAACTTGTGTTTAGTAAGACTTGCTTTGCAATTGAAGGCCTTCCCACACTCATTACATTCAAAAGGTTTCTCTCCAGTGTGAATTCTCATATGGAGAGTAAGTTTTGATGGGTAGGAGAAAGCCTTCCCACACTCGTTACATTCAAAGGGTTTTTCTCCTATGTGAATTTTCTTATGTTTAGTAAGTCTTCCTTTGTCTATAAAGGCTTTCCCACACTCATTACATTCAAAGGGTTTTTCTCCAGTATGAATTCTCTTATGGAAAATAAGCTTTGATGGGTAGCAGAAAGCTTTCCCACACTCATTACATTCAAAAAGTTTCTCTCTAGTGTGAATTCTCTTATGGAGAGTAAGACTTGATGGGTAGCAGAAGGCTTTTCCACACTCACTACATTCAAAGGGTTTCTCTCCAGTGTGAATTCTCTTGTGTCCGATAAGACTTGATCGGTAACAGAAAGCCTTCCCACACTCATTACATTCAAAGGGTTTCTCTCCTGTGTGGATTTTCTTATGTCCAGTAAGTCTTCCTTTGTCTATAAAGGCTTTCCCACACTCATTACATTTAAAAGGTTTCTCTCCAGTATGAATCCTCTTATGGAGAGTAAGTTTTGATGGGTAGCAGAAGGTCTTCCCACACTCATTGCATTCAAAGGGCTTCTCTCCTATGTGAATTTTCTTATGTTCTGTAAGTCTTCCTTTTTCTATAAAGGCCTTTCCACAATCACTGCATACAAAGGGTTTCTCTTGAGAAAGGATGTTGTCATACCTCCAAAGTGAGGTTTTCCTGAAAAATTTCCCATGTGGTTTTTCTCCAGTGACTGGTCGATGATACTGACCAAGGTCTGAGTGGAAACTGAAGGACTTCTTGCATGTATTATATCTACAATAGCTCTTATTTGAGGAGATTTTATAACATTTAAGGAGACTGGAAAACTGCTTGGAGTTCTTGGCATAGACACCATGTTTACAAATGCTTTTTCCTTTTGAAATTCTCTGTTGTGGAAGGTTTAAACTCAGACTGAAATTTCTCTCAAGTCTATTACCACCATGATTGGTGGTGAGTTTTCTGGATCTTCTCTCCTTGTTTCCCTTCTGCCTTTGTAACCTGATATCACATTCCCAGTCTCCTGTCAACTTGCAATCCCTAGGATTATCCTTTGCAAGTCCTTCCTTAGATGGCTCTCCCATAGAAATGCCTTGTTTTGGAACTGACTCCGTTTTACACATCTCCTGAATGAAAGAATCTGAAGGAAACAAAAAAGTATTAACCTACTATTCTTGGGAGCAGGGGGCAAGGAGAAAAGAAACTATTTGTTACTACTTTCTGGACAGTCTCCTGCATGAAGGGAATTCCTGATCTTGCAAATACAGAGCTAACAATGTTAAAAGTGAAGTGAAGCATAACTTGGGCAGGAGTAAGTTAGGTAGGAATGCTAACAAACTACCACTCTGCCTTAAATAACAGCCTCCAGGACTAACTTGTTAATTGTCATTCGTGGACATTCTCTAAGCTGGCTGTCTTCCTCTAACCCGATAGCATTATATTCCCAGTACTCTGCCCTCCTGGAATCATTGTAATGGGCAAAATATCTAAATTTTCAGAAGGGGGGAGAATGAATTTTACAGACTACAAATGAGATGTCTTAAGCCTGATGCCAATTATTGGCAAAATTCTTGAATTTATCGTCAATCAGACAGTTTATAAGCATGAAACAGTGCTCATAAAGACGCAGAATGGATGCAAGAAGAATAAGTTCTGCAAAGCAAAACTTGTTTCTCTTCATTGATAACATTTTTGACTGGTTAATCAGGGGATGCTGGACAAATCAGGTACTGAGATTTCAACAACATATTTGTTCAGGTCTCTCAAGATAATACTGGTAATAAGACCCATGGCTTTGGATGTTTACCTATAAATACACAAAGCAGTAAGTAATAAGCAAGGTGAAACTGAAGATTTTAACTAAAGGGGATAAATTTGACCAATTAAAGATCACAAAAACTTACTGGGAAGATAGTCATAACCAGATCCTCTCTGGGCCTCACTTTCCTTTTCTGTAAAATGAGATAAGCTTTGAGGTCCTATTAAGCTCTATATCTGTGAAACTATAGACAATGACTATTTGAGGATATGCCTCACTTAAATTAAACAGGATAGATAAAAGAGGAAAGAGAGTGGCAATATATATTAAGAAGATATGCAAACAGAAATGGTGGGAAGCATGGAAGAAATCCCTTAGGTAAAGATCCGTGGAGGCAGAAACAGAAGCAACATTGTCATCAGAGTACACTACCGACCACCTAGAGATAACAATGAAATAGATGAAGACTTTGGGAAACAGATCCGAAGAATGATGCAGAGACAGGCAGGATACGGTGACAGGAGACACCATCATCTGGACATCTTAGATGCTGGAGCCTCCTTTCTCTACTACTAAAAACAGAGAAGCTAATACAATCATTTCTTGATGTGGCTTAGTGATAATTTTGAAAAAATGGAGGAACTAACAAGGGTAATTCTATTCTGGATCTGATTCTCAACAATAAGGAGAAACTTGTTGCTAGGGTGGGAATGACAGGAATCTCAGGGGTAAGCAATTACTCCAATCAAAAGAGAGGAAGAATACCAAAAGTCTGACATGCACACCAGATTTTGGAAAAGCATAATTCAAAGAGTTCAAAGTAAAGATAGGTAGGATCCCTTGATTTGAAATTCTACAAGGGAAAGCAAGCCACGAGGGATGGAAACTATCAAGAATTAAATTCCAAAGGCACAAGAAGTAATTCCAATAAGGAAGTAAAAGGGAAGTTATCTAAAGGGGCTGTTTTGGGTGCCTAGGGAACTCACCAACTAATTAAGATTTTAAAACAACTAGTATAGGAGACAGAACTAAGGGCAGGTAACAAGGAACAAACATAATACCCTGGCATGGTCCAGTGAGAACAGTTCTCAGAATGCTAATGATTGGAATAAACTGTGCTGAAAGGGACAGAAAAGGATGACTCCAAAGGTATTCAAGTCAGGTATGGAAGCACATGCTACTGGAGAAACTGAGGCTGGTGTCTTGCTTCAGCCTGCAAGTTCTTAATAGCTGTGCAGATCAGGTGTCTGCACCAAGTTCAGCAACAATATGGTGAGCCCCCAGAAGGGGCCACCAGGCTGCCTAAGGAGGGGTGAACTGGTCCACGTCTGAAGCTGAGCAGGTCAAGCTCCAGTACCAATAAGTAGTGGGATGGGGCCTGTGAAAAGCCCCTGTACTTTCTGTGTAGACAAGACAGGGAAACCCGGGCTTTAAAATTTTTTAAGTTATATATTGGACAAAAATGAGGAAGATGACAAAAAGAAAATGACCCGTTCTTGGCGTAGATGGGCTGATCACTAATGAGAGGGAAAAGGATCGCTTGTATTCTGCTTGTTTTCTCTGCCACTGAGAAATGGCTCACATTCTCCTGAGAAAGGAAAAAGAGGGAACTGACAGAGCTGAGCTTTATCATGTATCCAAAGGAAACAAGAAACTTACATCGTGAGACATTTCAGCATTTCATGTTGCAGTGCTCATAATAATCTATTTGCAAAAAATGTAAATAAACCAAAACAAAATAACACATGCAAATAATTGTGTGACCATGTTGCAGAGGTTAAAGAAAGAAAGAAATTCTCTGAAAACCAAGAAGCCCCTCCAAATTAAATCCACAAGTACTTCTCTACCCAACTTCAGTGCAATGGTGGACACAGGGGAAGATGGTGAAATCATGTGTAAAAATATGGTTCTAGGTGGTGCGGGGATAGATCACCAGCCCTGGAGTTAGGAGGACTTGAGTTAAAAATCTGGCCTGAGACACTTGACACTTACTAGCTGTGTGACCGTGGGCAAGTCACTTAACCCTAACTGCCTCACAAAATAAAATAAAAAATAAAAATATGGTCCAGGAATAAAGTGTAAAGAAAAAAAGCAGTCTCTGCCCTCAAGGAGTTTATGTTCTATTGGGGAGAAACCACGTAAACCTATGTAAAGTATACTATAAGGGAATAAAGGAAGTAAAGGAGAGATCCATTCACTCAGCAAGTAACTGTTAACTCCCTTCTCTATGCCAGGACCTGAGAACGTGAATATAAAAACAAAAGGTTCCTGTACCTCTAGGAACATTACAGGAGGTAAAGATCACTAATATCTGGGGTCTCTCATTCGACTGTAAGCTCCTTGAGGGCAGGGGCTGTCTTTTGTCTGTTTTTGCATTCCCAGCACTTAGTACTGTGCCCAGTACATAGTAGATGCTTATGTTTATTGACTGACTTTCTAAAGCATCAAGTGAAGCTAAGCCTCAAAAAAAAAAAAAGAGGCTACCAAATAGCAAAGATGAAAAGAATACATTCCAAGTGTACCAGGGGGTGGAAGGGAGAGTCTCTTACAATGTGCTGTAACATAGGCTGGCAAGAGATGATTTAACCTAACACTTCCTATCTTCAAAATCTTCTGTGTAATCCTTAATATCCTAAGGTGACAGTTGTCACACCTCAAGGTCTTCTTTTATAGAATCAGTGAATCCCGATCTTTTCCAACCTCTTGACTTCCCTAAGTTCTCCACATTTCTCAAACAGGTTACAGAACTCATGCGAGGACCTGACCAATGCTAAAAAATAGGGAGCAGATTAACAAGATGACCATATAGCTTGTTCTCATCATTTCTGCTTGCATCAAAAAGGCCTCACTGGCAAGGCTCACTTCTAATCATGCTAATCACTCTAGTATCTACAAGTTCTAGTAGGACCAAATGTTAGGAGTGAAAGAGAAAGAGATTTTTGTCCCAATATGAAGCAAGAACATTCTAATGTTTAGGAGTAGTTTAAAAAGTAAATTAGTTATTTCACAAAATAGGGATGGCTCCAGAACTGAAAGCATTCAAACAGTGCCAGGGTAGCCAATACTATTCAATACTATGCAGATTCTTGTACAGATTGGACTAGACAGGCCCAAGGCTCTAGAGGGCTTTTCAACTTATTTTTTCTAACAATAAATCCTTCTTATTCAACATGGAATCATTCCTGAAAATTATGAGAAAATTAAATTAATCCAGAGATCACATGGATAGGCATAAACCCCAAGGTGGCCAATGATAGAAAGCAAATACTACATACAGCAAAACACTCACAGCAGCACTTCTTGTTATCACCAAAAAAAATGTAAAAAGGGTAGATTCCCACTGCCTGGAGATTGGCTAAACAAATCATATATGGATGAAACAGAGTATTACGATGCCATACAATGATGAATACAGAGAACCGTGGGAAGATTTACATGAATGGATGCAAACTGAAGTAAGCAGAATGAGGAAAACAATATAGAAGATGGCAACAATGTAGACGGAAAGAACATCAGAACCACTGAAACTGAATACTGTAAAATGATAAGAATCAAGGATGGACTTCCTGCCAAGATGGCTATTTGAATGGGAGGCAGATAGCGTAGTTCCCACATACCTACTCCAGCAAAACCCTGAATTTTACACTAGACTGAATAATGATCAAGAAATCTAGTGGAAACACTACAGTAGTCACCGTCTTCCACGCCAGAACTGCACGAGGTCAGCAAGAAACTGGAAGGTAATAAGGGGGTGCTTTAGATTGCCTCTTGGACAACTGAGGAATGGCTAAACAAGTCATGGTATATGGATGTCACAGAAATTATTGCACCTTTAGAAATGACAAAAGAGACAATATCAGAGAATACCAGGTAGTATGAACAGATATAGAGTAGGTAAGTCAAACCAGAAAAATAATCTATACAAAGACAACACTGTGAAGATGTTGCTGACTGCAATCAGTTCATTGACCAGCTGCATCTCCAGAGGATCCATGATGAAACATGTTGCCCACCTCCAGACAGAGAAGTGATAAATACAAGGTGTGGAAAGACACATTTTTGGACATGGACAGCACACAGATTTGTTTTACTTGACTATGTTTAGACATTACAAGGCATTCTTTGTTTCCTTTCGGTTTCCAATTGCGAGAAGGAAAGAAAAGAATTGGTAACAGTGATGCCAAAAAAAAAAAAAGACTACTGAAACACAGACAAGCAGGACAGTTTTGAAAGTAATATAGACTTTATTAAGTACTTTCTGAAAAACAAAAGGTTTGAGATAGAGATTCACAGTTTTATAGAAAAATTCTCTTGTGTTCTGCTTTGTATATGAAAATGATCTTTTGGGGGGAGCATTTAAGTTCAGAATAAAAACAATTTAA